TAGGTCCATTAGAGCCAAATGCATGGATGTATCCACCTATATACTATATACTATAATACTGTGACTGCATGCACCCGTTATAATTATGTACCTTCAATGCATACTCTTTTCCTGACTGAGTATCCTGAGCCACAAATACATAGCCATAGCCACCTATACCTACAAAGATACACACTGTATACATGTAAGCAGTAAACCATCATGATGTACTATGGACTGGACACATAAACTTCAGTGTGAATGGTTTAGTACAGATGTGCGGGTGCTCGCTCGCAGGCTGTGGAGTGTGGTGCAATGTTTTATGTACAGGTGTATGCCGGAATGAAAGGCCCTATGTCTCGCGGTCGTCGCGGCCAGCTTGCTGCTACACTGCTGTCCTTGTTGGCTGACAAGCACAATGATAGTATGTTCTCCCCAGCACGTGTGCTCTACCCCACCAATGGACGCCACACTGAAAACATGCACCTTTCTTTGTTATGTGCCACATATTGTCGTTACCAACCTTCCGCAATGACTCGTCTGATTTTTACCACCTTCCCGCCACCCATGTCCACCTCCTGACCCACGAAACGAGCACCTCCCGAGCCTCCTTCCCCTCCACCTCCGCTGCCACTCAGGTAGCTCCACGCGGAGCTCAGCAGTTCCGACATCCTCGGTCACCACTTCGTCGACGTCTCTACCGCTAAACTCTTACGACCTGCGGAGATGTCTCGACCTATATAACCCTCTTCGGCGGTATAAAATCCTTGTCAAAGGCGCAGCAAATTGTACTACTTCGCGATAGACGGGAGCAAAGAACTTTAGCTACCCAGTACACACACACACACACAGTCACAGGTCTCGTATTTTGCTTCGATATTTCATGTCGCTAAATTAGAGCAGCAATTACGTCATGCACCACACATATAAGCGCAGTGTGCGAAGAATAAGAGCGCTGCACGTGGAAAATGGCGAGCAGCAGCAAGGAGTTGGACTTGGGAGGGCTCATACTGCAGGTCCTGGAAGAAAAGGGGCAGTTGGACTCTTTTGACTTTTCCAGAGAGGCGGGGAGAGAACATCAGACTGTAGTGGGAGCCATAAAGAGCCTCCAGTCGGTGGGAAACGTGAGTAATCAAACGGGACTCTGGCTGGGCTGCAGTGTGGGCTGTTGTGCAGGTGGTGAGCACCGAGCAGAGACAGTTTGAGAGCTGGGTACTGACTGGGGAGGGGCAGGAGGTGGTGGAGAATGGAAGTCATGAGGCCAGAGTGTACAACGCAGTGACCTCCGATGGCGGCTCTCTTCAGTCGGAAATCATGGTTGATCTCTCTCTCTCTCTCTCTCTCTCTCTCTCTCTATAGTTAGCTAACATTTATTATTTCTTATATGCAATTGGAATATGAAGACATTTCTCTAAACCCTAAAGTCAATGTTCAACATAAAATTTCCCCTCTCCTTCCAATTCCAGACAGTATCCCCAATGCCAAGGTAGGATTCAGCAAGGCCATGTCGGCCGGCTGGCTGAGGATAGACAAGTCGGCGCCGGGCGGAGCAAGGGTGTTTCGCAAGACCGACGCCATCCGAGACAACGTGCAGGAGTCTCTGAAGCAGCTGGCAGCGGAGGAGAACTGAGCGAGGAACAACTGAAGGAACTCAAAAAGAGGAAGCTGATAAGCAACGTGTGAGTGCGTGTGTGTACCCGGCAACTAATCAATGGGGTAGTCCCTAATTGACAATGTCGTTGTGATGTCATTTCACAGTGTGACGAAATGTCTGGTGGTGAGCAAGGGGTCAGAGTTCACTACTCAGATAGGGAAACAAGAAGTGGACCTCACTCCAGAAATGATTACCTCGTGAGTAAACCTCACACTCCCTCTTCCTTCCAGCATCTGACCTCTTCCCATAACGGTGTACTACCAAATTGTTAAAGAGTCTTGTGCATAGCATTATAGAGCTGTAGCTACATTACAACTCTGCAAACCTGAGTTATGAATGACTTACGAAGTTCGGGGCAGGAAGACCAAGTCGTTTTAATCCTACAACTTAGGACTACTTTATTTATTACCCATGGTTCTATATGAGATCTTTCGTTTTGTCTATACTGTAATCTGTCCTTTTTGACAGAGGTTCTTGGAGGACCAAGTCGTTCAAATCCTACAACTTCAAAGCTCTGGGCGTACCCCCAGCGGCCGGCCACCTCCACCCTCTCATGAAAGTCCGCTCAGAGTATCGCCAGATCTTCCTCGAAATGGGGTAAATGCAGTAAAACCTGTGAATAGGACACATTGGACACATCAAGGTCCATTATTCAGCCGTGTCCCTCATTCAGATATATAAAATATCAGGGCTTAACCAAGTCTCTTTTATCATTCATATAGAGGGTCCTTTTAAGAGGTTTTAGTGTAAAACAATACTTTCCCTCTTTTTCTGCTTATACCAAACATTTTTATCTGTGTTTTGACGTATATAGTACCATCTTCGGAATTTTCAGATGTGGCTCGAAAGCTTTTGTTGTGCTGCAGGTTCACAGAGATGCCCACCAATAACTTTGTCGAGAGCTCATTCTGGAATTTCGATGCTCTGTTCCAGCCTCAGCAGCACCCGGCACGGGACGCACACGACACCTTCTTCCTCAAAGGTGAGGCCACACCCACCTCTCTAAGCCATTCCATCAAAACCAACAAAGTGCCCAGTGGACACCTGGACACCTTTTAAAATCCACAAGACCTTTGGTTCGTGTGATGTTATGTATAGCGGACATCTTTGAGGTTGGGTAACAAATAAGAACCTACAGCATGGTTAAAACTTCTTGCCCCGATAGTGTAAAATGGTCAGAATCTAAATAGAAAAACCCTGACAGACACACACAGTATCTAATAAAAGACAGTGACAGACACAAAATGGTCAGAATCCAACTAAAATACTAACGTACGCACAAGGCTCGCACCTACAGAATTATACACCTGCCACAGACCCCATGTACGTACTTCCACCACGTTCCCGATGGAGTACCTTATTTGGAGGCTCTTAGGGTTACTTATCTCTCTATACGTGTCCCACAGACCCCATGTACTCCCACACGTTCCCGTGGAATACCTTTATTCAAAGGGTCTTAGAGGTTTCACTATAATTATCTCTATGTTACGTGTCCCACACACCCCATGTAAGGTTTCACTATATCTCTCTATATACGTGTCCCACAGACCCCATGTACTCCCACACGTTCCCGATGGAGTACCTGCAGAGAGTCAAGCGGACCCACGAGAGAGGTGGCTACGGCTCCACTGGTTACCAGTACTCCTGGAAGTACGAAGAGGCCCAGAAAAACCTCCTCCGGACACACACCACTGCCGTCTCTGCCAGAATGCTCTACCAACTCGGCCAACAGGTAGTATTACAGAGGAAAACTTGTCTAGGGAGAAAGTTTTTTTGAGCCCTCCATTTGTTTTATCGGTTGATGCAAACATTTGCATTCAATCCCCGAAGTTTTCTATACGAATTTCCCAATGAAACACAACAGTTTCCCACTACACTGCATGCACCCAAAGCACCTGTAGACTTACAGCATGATAATAGTGTGGGTTTTGGACACACTTTTGCGTAGATCAAAGATGGGCTTAAAGATTGCGGGATTCTTACAATTAAGTAAGATTGACTTTTGTGCTTTTCTATGCTCACAATTTGGTATTACACTTTCTATATGTGCCTTCCCCCTTGATAACAGGAGGAGTTCACTCCGGTCAAGTGGTTCTCAATTGACCGCGTGTTTCGCAACGAGACGCTGGACGCCACTCACCTGGCAGAGTTCCACCAGATAGAGGGAGTGGTGGCCGACTATAACCTCACCCTCGGCCACCTCATGGGCATGCTCTACGAGTTCTTCAAGAAACTCGGTTTGACTCAGTCGTTAGAGCATTCTGTCAGTACATACAAGACCAGGGAACTGGTTTGAGTCCCATGAATAGTGTGTCAGAATTGTCCCATGGTTCAAACACTTGCTTCGTGGCAGTTTTGGTGTGATTAAGCATTTTCATGCCTGTTCGTGTGTTTACTACACATGGTTCGAGTCTGTTGTGTGTCCAGAGTATGATGAATTCGGGAGTGAATACTAATACATGTATATGTATGCACTAGTGATGCTAGCTATATCTGCATTCATTAGGTATTGAGAAGCTACGGTTCAAGCCAGCCTACAACCCATATACAGAGCCAAGTATGGAGGTCTTCAGCTACCACGAAGGTATATATACTCACAAACTCCACGATTGTGGTCTATTTCCTCCCCATGTGTTTTGTATGTACGCAGGTCTGGGTAAGTGGGTGGAGGTGGGTAACTCGGGTATGTTCAGACCAGAGATGCTGCTGCCTATGGGTCTGCCCAGGGAGGTGTCGGTCATTGCCTGGGGAGTCTCTCTTGAGAGGTACATACATACACATGTGCATGTGCCATAGCACTGTGGTTTGAGGTGTGCCTTTGTGTTGTTGTGTTGTGTTGTAGATTCGAACCCCTACCAGCTGAGTTGCCCTGGTAGCTCAGTTGGTACAGCACTCGCCTAGATTGCAGAGTGTTGTGGGTTCGAATCCCACCCAGGGCAACTCTTTATCTAAAGAAAGAGCTGTCCTGGGTGTAGTTGACTTGTTTCCCTTGCCTCGCCTTTCTACCTAGCTACCAAGTTGTTGAGACATGCGCATTAGAGCAGTGGTTATATACAAGAGTCAATGACAGAATTTTATTAGCACTATTAATCGTTACTGCAGCTTTTGTTGAAAACAAAAAAAATCTGGTGGCATGATTTTTGCACTGGTGATGTAATAGTGCATCACTTCAACTCCTGAGAGGCTTCAGTCACCAAAATGTTCCAACCCCTATCATTTAAAGGGAATGTGGCAGTACATAAGGGCTAAAGTTAGGAATGTTACTAAAGATAGAACTAACGGATTTGATCCGTGCAAGAATCCAATTACGTTTCTGTTTTAGTAACAGTTTCTAAATTTAGCCCTTATATACTGCCACATTAATTCCCTTGGATGGGCTAAAAATGTCAGCAAAAGGATTTAAAACCAAGGTACGTGTTAGTCACAAACCCTTACTTTGCCCACAGACCAACAATGATCAAGTATCGCTCTGAACAACATTCGAGAGTTGGTAGGTCACAAGGTCGATCTGCAAATGGTCCACGATAATCCTCTCTGTCGATTGGACAAATGACATCATCATCACAACTAACAGGTCACATGACTAATATTAATCATACTATGAATCATTCAGATATTTGTATGTGTTTCAGAACATTGACACTTATTTTATAGAAATTTCATGAATGTTGTAATAATACACCTTGGATCATTAAAAAAAATTTAAGGTGAAAGTAAAAAAGGTCAGCTGAAATACATACTGCATAGAAAACAATCAGTGCACACTTCTGCAGTTGCATGTCGACGAAGATGAGTTTATTATACAATTTTCAGTTGATGGCATCTCTGGGGGTTAGCTTGCTATTACTGCCCACATCCTGTGGCCATATTAATTAACACAGTCAATGGCACTAGTGGCAACAGTATTATTTTACCAAGAGGTAGACGGAGAATTTCTTGACTTTAATTCTGTACTTGGAGCTCCAGAGAGAGACGTAGTCTCCAGTGTTTCTAGAGCTCTCCAGTATCAGTTCTCCTGTTGGACACTCCAGAACACGGAAATCTGAGGACTCGACACTCCCAAGCCCTGCAAAAAAAACACCAACCAACCAACACACTTATGACAGTGCCAGAATAAAACAGGTGCACCATTAATTGTAATTGAACAGTAATTGGCTCTAATTTCACATTTTAACTAGTACAGTAGAACCTTCGATAAAGGGCACTTCAAATAAAGGACATAATGGGCACACTCTGAGAGCAGTCACATTCCTATTGTTGTGGTACTTTTAAAGGGAGCAACCTATATACAAGGGACCAAACGCCTGGTCCCAACATCTTTTACTCACTGTATTTGCAATTTAATATGTCATGGTATAATACTTGTATGTTCATTGATTTACCGCCTACGGTGCAGAGCGCTCCATTGTGGCCCATTGCCAATGTCTTGTGGCTCCCTCTCAAGGTGAGCGACAAACGTCCCATTCCTCTGTCATGGTACTCCCAGAATGCTGCGGGAGAGGAGGGTGATAGCTAATCAAAACATTCCACTAGGTACAGGAAAACGCTAAAGGGATAAAACGGTTTTTGCGGTTTTAGCCGTCTGCGAAAGTTTCTGCTGTTAAAGTTTGTAAATCGGGACATTTGCTGCATTGCAGGAGAGACCAGCAATCCGCAAAATGTTTTCTCCTTGGAATTCAAATTTGCGACTGAAACATAAAAATCATTTTTATTCCTCGAAAGACGTTACTTTTGTTGTCCTCCTCGTCGTCTATCAGTGTCACTTCAGATTTGTGGACTCCCAAGAAGAGTTGGGATGGTTTGTGGTAGAATTGGACGACTGCTCTGTCCACCAGCTTCTCCTGCAGTAAACAGTGATGTAGCAATGTGTTCTGGTACAGTACGAACTCGATAATTCAGAACCCACTCATACTCGCACACAACAGCAGTCCTGCATGCAAAAATGTATTGCGCATGCACTATACCGAATTTTGGCCTCTGAACTTGAGACCACACGCTGTTTTCATTGGCGACAAGGAGCGAACGGCGCTAGCAACATGTCTCAGACGCTAAAAATAGAATGATGAAATAAGGGAAGAATGTTCCTACAGTAAGTTTCACCAATAGTGAAGTTGCTGTAGTCATCTCAGCAACCATGACTTTTCACTAATTAGAACACTACCCCCCCGGTCAGAGGTGTTGAGATTAGGGAGTTCATACTGTATATATATACATCCAGAAGGATTTTACTTACCACAGATGCCACTTTCCTACTGAAAGGTGAAAGAGCTCTTTGACGGGAGTTGCTTCCAAACTTCTGCATGAAATGAAATCAGTCCTATAGCACAGTATATATGTCCTATATATTTCTTTCTGAAAAAGGGTGTTATGAAAATCAAAGAAATATCTTACCACCACACGCACAATGAATTGGACACAAAGTTGTGTAAAACCAAAAGCCCTGTGGCCTATAGCTTCAAGGATTGCCGCTCTTCCTGGTCCGTCAACACTCAAGAAGTACCCGGGAAACATAACTGATTCAAACGCCACAATTGACTCTCTGATATGATGGACGATGAACAGCTCATTTATCCCTCTGTCCAGTGGGTTTTTCTACAAACATACAAACACCGTGTATCACACAAACGACTTTTTAAACATTGATCTCACTCACCATTACAAATACTTTCTTTGCTTTGTTGACCCACACCATGCCAGAATGAGTCATGAGCATAACATCCCCTTTGAGCATTACAGTTGGAGTAACTATACCTAATGAGAAAGATGGGTCCCTTGTACAGATCACCATTGGTCAACGTACAGTTAGCATTAGCATAGTCAGGTCCAGCATTTTGGGCACTGGCTACCCACTTGGGGTAACTCATCATAGACAGGAGAGCATCACTAGTCTGTACAGTCATTGCACTGTCATAGTCTCGCGTGGTGGCCGATACTGGGACTATCAAAACACTGTTCCCTCGAAACAAGTCCTATACACACAAATGGAAGAGCACAGCACAGTTGTATAGTCATCCCAAGTCTGAGTAAGAGTATGGCTAAAGCTGGAGGTATAATATATGAGTGCAAGAGAGGTTCTATATACAGTATTGATTGGGGTGTCAAACATGATATGGAGTTAAACTGTTAGGAAAAGAGGACCAATGGTCACCTGTATGGAGTAGCCGGTGGGAGGCGCAGGGTCCAGAGAGGGACTTGTCCAGCTGGTGGCTCTGGTGGTGTGGTTGATGAAGTACTCTCTCCCATCGGCAGTTCTGGCTGGCTCCCATCCAGGAGGAAGACCCTGCTGATTGGGAGGCTGACGAGACTCCCGTGGATTCTGACTCTGACTCAGTCCAGCGCTCCCTGAGGCCGAGGAGTGTAGGAATGGGATGAAGAAAGAACTGGGGTCCATGGGAGGAGTCTCTGCTGCTGACTTCAGCTCTCCATCCTCACGAATACCCACATGTTGACCTGGGTACACTGCTGACTCCAGAGCCACAAAGCTGTCCCCTGTGCATTATATAGTCGCCTTTGGCCGGTCGCTTCTACTACAAATAGTTCTCTTACCTACTTCATGGACGTTGAACTCCGCAAACTCCATTCGACCTCCCTACACGACAAAGTATCAAATCACGGCTATATACAAACTACTGCCCGAGAGCTTACACCAGCTCCGGTCTCTCCGTCTCGTATCTGGAGCCACTTGTTCGGATAGGCCACGCTCTGTAGAGCTATCCTTCCATACCGACGTATGTAAACGACAAACTGAGCTGTATAGCGATAACATAGCTAATATCAGTGCATTCCCAACGAAGCAATCATTCGTTCATCTCACAGTGTGGGTCTCTGATCCCAGTCCCAGATACTCTTCCGTGCTTCACACACAGTCCCCGCTCACTGGCGAGCGACTGCAGTAGCACCACGCTTCCCTCGCTGAACAACGCCTGCTCCGCCCAGTCGAAAAGAGGGATCTACGATAAACGGAGGCATCCGTAGCTTGAATGCTGACCATCATGGGCTTGACTCCAACAGTACCGTCCCCAGCGTGTCCTCCCAGGCCATCCATTTTTGAGATGATGAATGGAGCTCAGAGTCGAGTCAACTCGACGTGTTGTTTGTGCGTGTACGTATAATTATACGTGTGTGGACGTGTGGGCGACACGTGCTAGCTCATTGAGGACTCATCTGTGCATCTATCTCACTGCTGGAGTTGAGACTTAGTTGGAGCCAAGTGGAGTACTGACTGAATGGCTGATGCTGAGCTGACTAAAGAATTTTTGCTGATCCTCCGTCGAGTTGAGAGAACTTCACCTTTAGCTATATTTAGCGTTTTGTAAGTTGTGGTTAATCTTTGACCCCTTATAGAAACAATTTTGGCGGACCATTAATTTTAGCGATTCATTTCTTAACGCCGAATTCGCTAAATTTAATGGAGTGCGAATATTTCCGGTTTTACAGTATTACACACCACTTCACACATGAAAAAACATGTTTATAGCATACTAGCTAAACACAGCATCAAGATGAGGAAGACGAAGGACGCTACACGGTGTGTATGTGGCAACCAAGTTCTCAATGTGCCAACAAACGCACACACACATACACACACATGTTGACAAGAACAGCACTAAAATGAGAACACAACTGGTTCAAACTTTAATTCAGAGCATATCTGCAGAGAGGAGTAGAATCCCATTTACCCAAGGAAAAGTAACGTTTTGGAATTGGCTTACTTGGGAATGGTCTTCTGACCCACCATTCCTTGAGTTTTATTCCTGTCCTGCAGTAAAAAAACAGCAAGTGTTAAACATCTCTGCTATGGAGCCAATGTATGTCAGTTCCTCCAACGAAACTTCATAGTCACCGTTAATTTACCAGGAGAAAGACGGCGAATTGGTTGACGATCCTCTTGTTTTTCTTCTTCCCCACGCTCATCTTGATCACCTCTTGAGGGAAGACGATGCTCTCAAACAGCAGAGTTCCACGCGGACACTCTCTCACATAGAAATCTGTGTGCTTCTCTTGACTATCCTGCACCACCATATATAGAACACTATGGTTTAACTGTTCGCAAATCATGTGAAAGCAACTTTCTGTGAGAGTAGCTATGTAGTATAAAGGAGTAAGCTACTACCGAATCATACTACTACCTTAAACACATTCACAAATCCAACTTTGAGAAAAGTATATATACAGCACAAAAGAGTTGGGGAGCTACTGTCACTGGTGGTGAACTGACTGTTGAGAGGTGTCCGTTGTGATCAATCTTCAAGTGTTTCCCTCCAAAGTAGCTGGTGAAGGAAACACGACCCATGCCTCGGTCACGGAACAACAGGAACGCTGCACGTAGAAGTGAAGACAGATGAGAGAGAGCGAGGAGGGAGGCAGGAGGGGATAGAATGTGGCTGACAAGAGAACTAGTGCAAGAAGGTTCCGCTTTTAGCAACAGTTCTGAAAAGGGATCGTCTGAATAAGGGATGCCTCCTGTTGGTTCCGCCTTACACTAATATAATAGACCAACAGATATTATGTGTCCCTTATTCAGAGGTTTAATAAACTGTTGTGCACATAGGCGCCGCAAATCAAAGGCAAAGCAAACAAGTCAACTATGCGACATACTTCCTTCCTCCTCCACATCAGTTGAGTGAACTTTCCGTCCAAGACACAGATACATACGTTCTGGATTTGAAAAGAGCTGGATCACCGACCTGTCCTTTAATTTGCTCTGCATGAAAAGACAAAGCACTCAGACAAATAATCCTTATCATACAGAAGAGTATTATAAATCTTACCACGATTGAGGGGTGTCCACTGGAAAATGGAGAAGTGAGAACTTGACTGTACGGGCCCTTAAATCTCTGTAATGACACATAAAGTATACCTAACACTATACCGTTTAGAAATAATATCAGATCACCAGCTATTGGGCTTGCCTCAAAAAAAGTTTGCATGCAGCCACATGTGACTTTTGGATTTTGGAAACCCAGAGTGCATCAACCAAAAGTGCCATATTATTGAAACGACTGTCATACTTTGTAACAATCAAATATTTCAGTCATGCAGAATTAGCTGAAGGGGTGTCACTTACACTGACATAGACTGTGAACTGGACGCAGTAAGCCTTCAGTTCCTGTCTCTCCAGAATGAGGGTCCCGTTTTTGCCATTTGCACTCACAAAGTGGGTGGGAAACTGGACCGACTCCAGGGCAACGATAGCTCCGTGGATACCTCGCACTGTGAACAGATGCTCGGCACCGTACGCATACACGTCGTCCTGCGTTGACAGAAATTTGGTGACCGTTATAAAGAGAGGGTGTCTCTCTCTACTGGTAGTAGGTTGGCTCACTGACCCCCATGAACAGCTTCATTTGACTGTTGCAGCAGAGTGTCTTCCCAGAGGCAGGGTTTCTCAGTGCTACGTTACCATCCGGTGAAGTCTCTGCAATCAATTCAGCTGGAGTATATACAAACAGCAAGAAAGTGCACAAATTATCTTAATTCTGCATAATTACGTGCATTTCAGTAGCTTCAGTACCTTCCTTATTAACTGCCACAACAGGTTTAAAACTCCCACACAAAAAAGAAGTTGAAAGAAAAATAAAGCAGTACTCTATTGCATAAACATTAACATGGCCAAAAACAAGTTTCTGTTCCGCAATTCACACTGAAGACTATATACCACTCTGGCTCGTTTACCTACTCGTTTCAAGACAGAAAAGGCCCTGCAAAGAGCACAATACAACAGGCTGAGGGAGAGTAGTCACAGGTGGTATAATATAGTAAAGCCAGAATGGGCATTACTTGCGTCCTGAAAAAAGCACCATACAATAGACAAAAGAAAAGCAGTCTCAGGTATATTATAGACCTTTCTTCACCTGAAAGATGGGAAGGGGTGCTTACGTAATACAGCATAACCGCGTTACACAAACTACCAGAGACTAGAGAGACGACGGTGCTCACATGCCGGGGACTGGAAGTTTCCTCCGGTCTTGAGTTTGGTACGTTTCTCCAGGACTCCATGAGTGACGGCCACGGGGTGGTCTGTCAGGTGAGAGTCCTCCCGAGGGACGAGATGCAGACTGTTGAACTTGTAGAACAAATCCTGCACCACACAGAACATTTCTCTCTCTCAACAGACAACGTGTTTTAGACTGTGGAAGTGGTGATTGTTCAATCAATATTTGTGTAGGTTAATTTTATAAATTTCATGTGGACCTCAAGATCTCTCAAATAAATTGAATGAAGTTTTCTTCCTTAAGTTTCTGGAAACCCTCTCTAGGACTTCCTTGAAACGGGGACACCTCTCTATTAATCATTAGGACACCTCACTGGTGTCCAGATTAGAGGGGTGCTGCTGTATACACAGTGTATATGGCACGCACCATCAGTTCGTAGCCGAGAGGAATGGCAGGGTGGGTTGGAATGGAGTGATCTGGAGGGTGGACCATCGCGCCGGGCGCTGGTGGCTGGAGGAAGGAGGGCCCGGCTGGCTGAAACATGTGAGATGGAGGTTGGTACAGCGGCAGAGCAGGCTGTGCCACAGAGGGATGAGCTGCTTCAGTGCCTTTGATCCCTCCACCAAATACACCACCTGCATAAATCAACAGAAGGGATCAAACGATTTGACTACCCTAGGACAACACTTATTATAGAACTGGCCTGGGTGGGACTTTAACCCGCGACACTCTGCTCTCTAGGGCAGAGTGCTCCTTATCAATGCAGCAAGCTACAAGACCTGGAGTGTATTACAGTTAGCACACACCTTGCGGTGGTCCGGGATATGGCGGAGGAAGCTCACCAGGTCTCGGGGCTGGCTCCACCCATGTCTGAGGGACAACAAACACCACACAAGTAAGATGTCAGTATGTATAATTATACAGTAACAATTTTACTCTAAGTTTCATAATCTATGGTGAGATCATGTGCACACATATACAGCAATACGTTAAGTGCTATAATAAACAGTGTAGGCAGCAGAAGACTGGGAAACAAATCTTTTAAAATTTATTTCCCTCCTACTATACCTACCTACATAGTGGACATAGTAAGACATACGGTAGCAGGAGGAGTGGAGAACTGGGGGAAGGGAATGAAGAGAGAGGCTCGGTGGCGGGCCGGAGTCTCCGAAGGCGGTTGGAGCTCTCCGTTCTCACAGACACCCACGTGTTGACCTGGGTAGAACCCCGACTCAAGTGCCACGTATTTACCTTCTGGAGTGGAGCCAAGATATGCGGACTTGTAAGTACATGCATTCCTAGACAAGTATGTGACATCAGCAAAATATCGGGATTTGTGAAGACTTGTTATTACATACTATTTGGTTATGGTATTACCATATCGTTTGTCTGCCCTAAAATCATGCGCTAGATTTACAGTATAATTATGTATACAGGCATGGAATCTTTGACTACAATAATTACCTATTCATTTATCTGTGTTTGCTGCTAGTGCAGTAATTGAACAAGAGTTTTACCTGATAAGTTAGCATAATACTTGCGCCTAGAGATTATTAAATCTGCATGAACTATCCAGACTGTGCAGTGGTGGTGTGCAAATTGTGTATTTACACACCTATTTCATGAAGAACAAATTCTGCATAAGGTCCTCCACTTCCCTGTGGAAACATTAACTCTAATAATAAAGTTTGGGTGTAATTAGGGCTTACTGATCCTAGGGTTCTCCCCTCGTAGACTGTGAGCCAGTTATCTGCGTTGCCCACATTCTGAAGAGCTATTCTTCCAGATGGCAACGTGTGGACTCTAAACTGTGCTGCAGGATAAAAGCAATTGGCTCACGAGCATACAGTACAGAGGAAGTTACTATACAAATATCAGAATGGTTTTCATCATAGCAGAGAAATGTTTAGCCATGAGTAAGAAGAAGTCAGAGATCGTCTTACAGAAGGCATCTCTGATTCCTTTTCCACTTATTTCTCCTCCAGACACGCAGAGAGTGTGTCTGCTGGCGACACTCTGCAGTACCACCACCACTCCATCCTGAAACATTTCCTGAGTAAGATAGAGAGAAATGACAGAGAGAGGGTAACGTTGAAAGGAGTATATACTAGCTTTACAGCTACTCACCATGACTGTGCTAGGCCCGGAGGGATCAATTCTGCCACCACTTTCTGCAGATGTCGGCTGATCACTTATAGTCATTTCGGAAATCTGACCTGTCACTTCGGCCTTGACAGCAGTATTATTGATTGATTGGCAAGTTGGATATGTGCTTACCTGGTCACTGTTCTCTCCCGTTGTGGTGGGGTAAGCGGGTAGTGGCGGGGCCGACACTTCGTCCATGCTCGCCATTATGCAACAATACCCTCAACGGCTACGAAAAGCCACGCCGTTGTCCGTCCGGTAAATATAGCTGCTGCCGTGCCCGTGCGCTCGACGCAGCATGAAGGATGGTCGTCTGTGCTGTGCGTGGGGCGTGGCTTGGGGGTGGGGCTAGTAATGTCAGCTCAGCTAGCAAAAATCTCTCTTGCAATGGCAATGAAGGTGGTGACTTTAGTTCTGCTGCTGGCTGTAAGCTGCGTCGTCGGTCGTCAGTTCACAATTGACTATGACCATGACACGTTCTTGAAAGATGGCCAACCTTTCAGGCAGGTTTTACATACACAGCTAGCTAGGCGATCATGTGTATGGCGTCTGTCGTATAATCAGTGTATCGTGTAAAACAGGTACATATCAGGCAGCATGCACTATGCGCGGGTGCCTTCAGCCTACTGGAGAGACAGACTCCAGAAAATGAAGGACTGTGGCCTCAACACAGTCCAGACATACGTCCCCTGGAACTTCCACGAGCCACGGCCGGGCGTCTTCGACTTCTCTGGAGACAGAAACCTCAGCTACTTCTTGCAGACGGCCCAGGACGTTGGTCTTCTCGTCATAGTACGAGCAGGTCCATACATATGTGCAGAGTGGGATATGGGTGGCCTGCCTGCCTGGCTCCTCACGCACAAAGACATAGCCCTGCGCAGCTCCGACACTGTCTACCTCGACTACGTAGACAAGTGGATGACTCAACTACTACCCATAGTGAAGTCACATCTATATTCCAACAACGGCCCTGTGATAACAGTTCAGGTTGAAAATGAATACGGGAGCTACTATGCCTGCGATAAAAAGTACATGGAACACTTGTACGTTCTCTTCCGATACTTGCTGGGAGATGACGTCGTGCTTTTTACCACAGACGGAGACAGCGATGGATACCTCAAGTGCGGTACTCTCACACCTTACCTGTATGCCACTGTTGACTTTGGAGTAACGGTAGACCCGGCGGCAAACTTCAAGAGCCAGCGAGACTACGAACCGAAGGGCCCTCTGGTGAACTCAGAGTTCTACACAGGGTGGTTGGACCACTGGGGTCAGCCGCATCAGACAAAGAGCTCAAAGGCGGTGGCAGACTCTCTCTATCTCATCCTCAAACTAAACGCCTCGGTCAACATGTACATGTTTGAAGGCTGGGACCAACTTTGCGTTTTGGAACTGGTGCAAATGCTCGGGAGCACGTACCAGCCTCAACCCACCAGCTATGACTACAATGCTCCTCTCACAGAGGCAGGGGATCCATGGGAAAAATACACACTCGTCAGCCAAGTCATAAGCTCTTATACCGGTACAGTGCCCTATACGCCACTTGTGGAGCCCAAGGGAGCCTATGGTAAAGTGTACATGACAGCAGCTGTGGGCCTTTTCGACTCCCCACAGCTCGTAGCGAACCAGGTGTCTTCTGACACGCCAGTTAGTATGGAAATGCTTGGACAAAGTTTTGGTTTCATGATCTATAGCACTAAGCTGCCGTCTGAGCTAACTGGACGATCTTCAAGTTCTATGACCATATCAGGACTCAAAGATCGCGCATCTGTCTACATTGACGGAGTCTTGAAGGGGACGGGAATGAGGGGAGACCCTGTTAAATCAGACGTTAGTTTGACCATCGATATCCCTAGCGGTGCCGTTGACTTGGACATAGTGGTGGAGAACATGGGAAGGATAAACTATGGCAGTCTCCTGAATGATAGCAAGGGGATTCTGGGGTCCGTGGGTATTGATGGGCAAGCCCTCACTCAGTGGGTATCCAAAGCAGTTCCACTGGACAACAGTACTCTCATACCGTTTCAGCAGCTCAACGAGACGGTAAGAATGCCAAACTCGACCGTTTTCTACCGTGGAACGTTTCGATTCGACGGCCAAGCCTACTCTACCTACCTGAATGTCTCTGGCTGGAGCAAGGGAGTTGCGTTTGTCAACGGCTACAGTCTGGGTCGCTACTGGCCTGTGAAGGGACCACAGAAGACGCTCTATGTCCCAGGAGCCTTCCTTCGCTCCAACACAGAGCTAAACGAACTCATTCTCTTTGAGATCGACCACTCTCCCTGCATTCCACCTTACAACAATTGCTTTGTGTCACTTGTAGACACCCCTGACATTGGATAAAAAAATAAGAATTTTACATGCCCATGTGATATAGTAGTTGCTGTAAATTGTGAGCATAAAAAGTTAAAAAAATGAAAAGGTAGCTATATAATTGAGAGTTCTAATGTGATAGGTATTATGATCATATTTGTTTATTGCTGTCTGAATTTTGTTTGTGTCTAGTGTTTGCTGCGGTGTCTAGTCGATCATATGGATTAGTAGGAGCTGCTGGGGCTGTAGGCAGAGGTAGTTGTTGTATAGTCCCAGTGTTCTGGTGGCTCCGAGGAACATTGTAGAGGTTTTGTGGGCCGACTCCTTGCGTTACTGTGTAATTCCGACTGCGTGGCACTGAATAGGATGAGAGCACATCTTCCCTGGTTCTTGTACCGCTTGGCTGACTGATTGTATTGTGGCGAGACTGGGGCACACAATACTGCTGAACAGGTCCAGGTTTTGGTGTCACCTCGGGCACCGACTTGGGCACCTCGTACATGTTCTCACTCTTACCGACGCGGCTGTAGTTTTCTATCATCTCGTACTGAGGACTCTGCATGGAGAGATCGGTCATTGCAGCAGCTCCGTTACCGTTTATCTCTGCAGGTAGCATCGCATACTGTGGATTCGGGACAATGCCACCTTTTATGATCATTCGCTGTTCGTCAATGTCTGATTCCGCGTGTTGGTTAACTGTTAGGTCGATGGTGCCATGGAGGTACTCTGGTGCTGGTCTCTTCCCCGGTGGAAGCTGGCTGTAGGTCCGAATCATCTCGTACTCGGGTGGAGCTGTAGCCCCACCCTCTCCCCCTGCTTTAATGACAGAGTAGTCCCCCTCTGTGTTTGGATTGGCTGTGACGGTCGCCGAACAGCTGTCTGCAGTCCTCGTGATGTAAGAGTTGGGCCTGAAAAATTAATGCATGTGTGTGTATTCAATGTAGTCCAGTCACATTGAGAATGGACTTGTCATATCATTGATGGAAGGTTTTACTTACTCTCCCATAAATCCAATACCCGAGTTTCAAAATCGATGTATGTCCATTCCCAATAAAATTTAAACTGTGAACCTTCCGAGTAAATATAATAATTATAGGTCTCACCTAGCTGCTCTGTTGAGGCTGTACTTGCGACCTCGTCTTCTTGCAATGAAAACTGCCAGCACCACCAATATCACCACCACAGAGACGATGAAGACAACCGCAACAATGACGGCTGCAACTAGAATCACATCTAAACCACCTGAACCTGCAGAAGTAAAGAGTACGTCAAAAAGGGGATTGTATGGAGAAAGCTTTCACATAACCAGGCTCTTGAACCTAAAAAAAGTGGTAATTTATTCAGAGAGAGAGTTAATTAATTCAGAGTGTCCATTAAAAAAGAGAGGTAAAAAAATTGGTAGAAAAATGTGTTGCCCTTCAATTATAATAGCTATAATAGTGGCTGAGAGTGTTCAAGAATGGAAGTTGTGTATCCTTGCGAACTCACTGGTTGGGGAAGTTTGTGTTTTGAGTAGCAAGGTGGTAGGCGGACCGTCACCCTTGCTGTTTACTGCCACCACGGAGCAATTGTATGCAGTGGCAGACAAGAATCCTTGGACTTTGTGAGTTCCCGGGGCACTGAAACTCTGTCGCAGCATCAGAGCACCTCCAGAGAAGCAGGAGAGGGTAAACCCTGTAATCTCCCCATTACGAAGGGTGACTAGTGGGAGGGACCACGTGAATGTGACGTCAGTGGCCCCAACGATAACTTCCAGTGACAGAGGAGGCCCCATGGGAGCTGTTGATTATAAAATTCATCATTTATAATGTGTTATCTTCCTCACATGAAATCCCCAGAGGCATAAACTCTGAGGTGGGCAACACAATAAGGCCCACATGCCCCCTTCATACACACACCCTGCATATAGCACAGTGCCAAAAGATCAGTTGCCTTCCTTAACACAGCACGTAACCACTGGCCGAGCTTTACTAAACAGAGTCAGATACACCTAATAATAAGGGTTTTACCCCCAAGATTAATGCTCACCGATCTCCTCTGTTGCCTGTACTTTGCTGACTGGCTGTGACTGACCCTTGGCAGTAACAGTGACCACGCTGCAGTTGTACGACACTCCAGGGTAGAGCTCGGCGAGCGACAGAGTCATTTCATCTCCCGAGGACGTCCTCACTGGCTCGGGCACGGGGATTCCCTCCAGGAGAGGGGTACAGGTGAGGACAAAGGCAATGGTTAGGTTAGCACCAAGCTGAGGTGGCCCCCATGTCAACTCCAGTGCAGAGCTACTGCTGAAGGCAACAGCAACATCTTCCACTGGATAGGCATCTGTAATACAATATATTGGTGATATATATATACACAGAGCCCACCCTCTTTTCTATTTATTTGTAATTTGAGCATATTTACATCATTCGAATGTAACTAACCTTAGGACATGTAATATATACACAATAATGCCCACGAGTATTGCCTCATTTTGCAGGTATACACCGTAACATACCTACAACAGTGATGGATTTGGTGGCAGTTGTACTGCTGTCAATACCAGAGCCAGGTATCACCAAAACAGCTCTACACTTGTACTCTCCTCCATGAGATGTATCCAATGAGGACAGGGAATATAGGAGAGTGTTGGAATCAGGGGATGTAACACTGGCAAGAGACATTCCATTTGGTGCCAGTAGCTCTAGATCAAGTGAAGAGATCAGGTCCTCTACTACATTAGCTGTGCACTCAAACGTGTAGCTCTGTCCAGTCAGAAGTAGTCCCGACGTTTCAATATTCACAGTCAGTGGAGGTGGGCCTACAGGTGTTGAAATAGACTGCTAAAAGAGATTGTTAACGAAGGTTGTTTGGACATACTGGTGATTTCAAGTGTGGTAGAGTTGCTCCCTCCTGTTCCAAGAATGTAGTCACTAGCTGTACTGACTGTAGCAGAGCAGACATATTCTCCATTGTCCCGGTCATTTGCCAGTGGAGTGATGGATAGGTGGCTTGAAACCTGCAAGTTGTCTGTGGCTGTGTCTGAAACTGTGTACCATTCCCCTGGAATGGTCCTCGGACCGTTCCATACAATGACGACATCAGCGGGTGTGTCCACCACGGCAGGGTCAAGGGTCACCACACACGAGAGTGTGAGATTACTGCCGGCGTACAGAGTCCCAGGACGATTGAGGTTAATGACAATACTAGGCTGAGGCACTGTAGAGAGGAACATAAGACATTTCCACATAGGCAATGTAGAGGGTGTATAATTACTGATTGTATGCTGAATGGAGGACGCTAAGGATTTTCTTTCACTACTTACTCTGTACAGTGAGGGTAGTCTGACTTTCCCCAGTGACTAAGAGACTGATAGCCGGGACATCAATTGTCAACACACAGGTATAGACCCCAGCAGTTGAGGTCTTGTCAACCGTCAGATTGTGAGAGAGGTAGTCCCGATGCCAGTGGTGAGACTGTCCCCTGGTGCTCTCTCCCACTTCAGCGAGGGCTGAGTCACCAGGTGAGGGACCGCAGACACCGTACACTCCAGGACCAGTTGGTCACCAATACTCAGTTGACTGTCACTTGTGGCAGTCACCTGCGGTGACAGAAGACCTACGAGGGAGAGAAAGAAAGAGGGAGAGAGGTATATAGTTTGGAGGAAGGGATAAAAAGAGCGGAAGGCAAGAGAGAGGAGAAGGAGGAGAGGGAGTAGAGAAAGAAAGAAGAGAAGGAGGAGAGAGGCAAGAAGCGAATAAGAATTAAATGAAGAGAAGGATGGAGGTAGGGAGAAGCTATATAGGAGTAGAGAGAAATGGAGCCTCACAACATACTGCTGCGGTATGTGTGGGTGTGCAATGAAATGTGCTATTTGCATTTCAATTGGCTTCATGTGTTTGTATGTTGTACCTTCGACCATGACTTCAACAGGTTCGGTTGTTGCTGTGAGTTCAGAATGACAACATACTCTTGTGCTGTCAGTGTTAGCAAACAGGCGTAACTCCCACTATCTGAAGTGGCAAGGGGACTAAATGCCAGACGGTCGTCCGATGTAGCAATGCGAGTTTGAGTGGTATCGACCGTCCCACCATTCACAGTCCATTCTACTGTACTACTATTGATAGCTCTGTTGTCCAGCTGGTGGGCACAGGTAAGGTTGTAGGCTGTTCCCTCATAGAGAGAACCACCGCGACTTCCTTCAATCGTTGGTTGTGGAGCTTCAACTGCACAGAAACAGTAAAGGGTATAGTATCAACAACCCCCACCTTCAAAATGACTTGGTTCGTACCTTGAACGATGATATTAGTACTCTCACTGATGTTGAAGAAGCTGATAACCACAGTACAGGTGTATCGACCAGCTTGACCAAGCTCTATTGCACTAATGACTAGGGTACTCCCCGCAGCAGTATCGTCTGGCCCGTCCCACTGGAAAGACGGGGGTCCCACCACCCCATTAGGGAGGACAGCTGAGCAACTGAGAGTGGCAGTATCCCCAATCATGACCGGAGTTGAAGGGGCAACCGATACCATCACTTCCACAGTCTCTGCAAAAAACAAGCGCACAGAGAAAGGTTTTCAAGTTTATTACTTTGAAAGATCAGCATCACCTATAGTGACGTTCTCGGGGCCAGTGACGTTACTGGAGAGTGTATTGGAATTGGCCACAATTGTGACAGAGTAGGTAGCTCCTAATGTAAGACCGAATATGGTGATACTCGTTTCAGTTGAAGCAGCTGTAGCGGTCACTGTAGCTCTGTTTTCTTGGAGTGGAGCCAATCTGATAGTATAGCCAGTGGTGAGAGAAGGATCGCCGCCACTCGATGGAGTCCAAGAGGCCAGCACGCTAGCCATTCCATTCTGTATGACCTGCAGGTTGGAAGGTGGGTCTGGAGCTGTATAAGGAAGAGCAAGGGATAGGATTTATCTATATATGGAGCACAGGTTGCTCTGATTAGTACACAGTGAAACCTCTGAACAATGACCCTTCATCTGCTCTATATATAGGACATTTAGTCCCACGATTATTACCTCTAAATGAAGGGTATGTACCTCTAAATAAAGGACACTTTCAATGGTATCCCCGAAATTTAAAAAAATTACTTCATTATACCTGCAACAGTTAGATACTGGATATTGGTGAAAGGTTTATCGTTTGCCACGATACAGGCGTACTCCCCTTCGGTTCTGCCCATCACTGTCAGAGTGTGTGTATAGTGTGCAGTCACTGGGTCGTCCAGTACCGAGGTCCGATCGTCTCCGTTCAGCTGTACATTATCTCTCCGCCATATGACAGTGGTGGCAGGTCCACCGGCGGAGATACAGGTGAGCACAAAGTGACTCGTCTCCCCATCTGCTCCAGTGAACTCTTGAAAACCAATCTCACCTTGTATGCGGGCGTCCCCTCCTGTGGGTGTAAAGTGCAATTGGTTGAGTAAGTGTGTCAGACAGTGACACCATCTAGAATTACAAGTGTGTCCGCACGACCCGATATACTCCCGTAATCATGTTTCATACTCATACCAATTGACATGCATCGATGCATGAGCAAACTCTCACTGGGTTGCTACACAGACCTATACGACTAGCATACTTCTCCATCCATACATCTGATGTCACCGATCAGCAGCCTTGCAGAATGCTGTGTCTACCCTTCTACTGAGGTATGTGAGGAGGCTTCCGTGAATATTCACATGAACAATTTATCCCACTACCTAGCTACATACAGGGACGGAGCTGAAGTAGATATCGTGCAATTACTACGATAGCTATATATAATATAGGAGAACAACAGTGTCTTACCGCCACTGGTGTAGATTCCCACGTAGACTACCTCTCCTGTTGTAGTATCGTTGCTGTTGTCTGACCGAGCCGCGTTCGTTTCAATCGTGCACCGATAGATCCCGTTGGCGACCGAGCTCACCGCGCCCCCGTTGCGAGAGAGGTCGACTCTCTGGCTCCGACGTAGAAAGTTGACTGCATTCCCGCTGAATGACAGACGAGTTCCATTGGGATAGTACCAGTTTCCGCGGTCTTCTCCTGCGACATTATTGCAGCAGGTCACCAGGTCCGTGTGGCACTCCAAGTCGTGAAGGAGTCCTGCAGCCCAATGCTATCAAACTGCAGGTAGCTGTGGTTGGTGTAATTCGTGGTCCCCAGACTGAGGTAGGGAACGGTTCCTTGTGATTCTACGACGATCGAGGCCAGGACCAGGCTCGCCAGTACATGGTAGAAGTGTTCCATGACCGCCCGGTGTAGTAGCTATGTTGTAGCTAGTGCAAATCTGCTTGATCCCGTCGAACTCCCAGGTGTATTTGTACGAGCAACGCCCCCATGCATCGAATTTTGTACGCATGCGCAATAGCGGTTGCGCGGTGCATTGGTGAGTATAGTTCTCTATACACTGATCTTTATAAACCTCACTGCATTGTTTGAAAATCACACAGAAGCCTCATTATACCAAGACACAGGCCATAGGCAAATTCTGATATCCATAGTTTCTTCTGCCTACGTAGCTAGCAAAGGGCTCTGAGTGGGTCCACACCACCTTCAAGATCACCCACACACAGTCACTGATGACAATGCAGGCACCCATAATTATAGCTACTAGCATTGAATAGTCACCGAAAAACAGAATCTACATAAGCTTGTAGCTATCCCCATTCCTTTAGTATTAGATGATCAACATGAATTCAGTATAAACTCCTACAAGTGTTCTTCTACTATACCTATAATATATCTAGACTGCGTTTCTGATAGTTTCCTTGGCCTTGAATCAGCAGCAAGGTCTTTTGTAGGGGGACTCTGCCTTCACCTTGGGGAAGAACTGCCCGTGTTCTCCATCTCCAGTGGAGCCAGGAGGCTTCACCTCTCCTCCTGGCAGGATACCAATGTGCTTCCCTGGGTGTTCCTCTGACGCAAACACAAGGTGGTTGTCTGTAGTGATAAAACATCAACATACTACGTGAGCTAGCACCACCTAACATAGAGGAAGAGGTCACATTACAAACTCATATGAACATGTTGTGGGAAATAATATGTATGACTACTACCATTTATAGTGGCCCAGTGGGTTAAAATGCTGACCTCTTTCCTTGACCTTGAAGTGGCACTCCGAGTTTCCTCCGGTGAAGGTCAGCTGGTACTCCGTGGCACTGAGATAGAGGTTGGCCTGCTTTGCATGCTGGAACACCACAACTCCAGGAGCCCGCACATGTACGATAAACTGAGCTGCAAGAGAGGCACATGGCACCTGACACACATGACATGTTTGTGTGTCTACAGTCTACAGATGTAGATCATATACAAGTCTTAAGTTGCAATGTGTGTGTGTGTGCGTGGTGTGTACCAAGAGCTCCCTCAGCCCCACGTCCCTCGATAGTCTTGTCGTCATTGATCCTCAGTGTCTTCCCACTGGCTCGGCTGTACAGCACCACCACATTCAGATGGTGGAGGGTCCTCTACAGTAATGTGTCAGTAGCTTATAGAGAGAGTGTACAAGTGCATGGTAATAATTAACACGCCCAAACTACAAATTGAGCAGTAAGGAGTGGTGAGGAGTAACACCTAAAAATATTCCTGCTATTGCCCTGTCACCAACCACATGCCACTGGGTCAGTTTGTGTATTATCCCCCTTCACAAAATGTTCATAACATCATTAATCACCCCCCATAGCACATGATCTATATACCTGGAGTAGGGAGGTTCCAACTCGATGGTAGCTGGGCTGTTCCTCCAGCACTTTCACGTTGAACTGTCCATGTTTGCTTCTCCTGGTGTGGTGCGGTGGCTTGATCTCTCCGTCCTCCTTCACCCCCAGATGACTCCCTGGGAATTTGACCGACTCCAGCAACAGATGACCATCTGTACCAACACAACTGAGACTTAAAAATGAATGTGGCTGTACATGAGGGCTAAATTTTAAAAAGGTCGCCAAATTTCAGCCCTTATGTACTACCACATTCCTTTTAATGCTCTATTGCACAGTAACTCCTTTAGATTTTGAACTTACCATGGCTGTCCACTTTGAGCTCGGACATTCTTCCACCTTTACCCTGATAGCGGTAGAAATATTATTCTAACCTCTCGGGTTGTACTACTATGTATAGCTATATACTGTATGGAGGGAATCCTTCTTCAATTGGATCCAGCGTCCTGGATTTTTCCTGCTCTGCAGTTTGATGGTGCGTTCTCCCACCACATGAACTATGAACTGAGCTGAAAAGTCAAAGCAAGAAAAACTTGGAACACTACTTAGAAATATTGGTTACACTGAATCAAGGATAATACACAAGGCTCTGTGCAGCACATTAGTGAGGAGAGGTGTCTCACCAAGTGCTCCAGATCCTCCCGAGCCATCAATCTTGCCATCGTCGTGGACACGAAGTGACCTACCACTGGCTGCAGACTCTAGCACCACCACATTACCGTGGGCTAGTAGTTTCTGTGCCAACACCAGTGGATAGCTATTAGTGATAGAGAGTGGGAATATAATGTAACTCATACCTCAAAATGGGAAGTCCCTGCAGTTATTGGCCCTTTAACCTGCAGCACAAGCACAGCCATAACCAGTTACAAATCTGACTCCTTCATAGCAATTGAGGCCGGGTGACCTAATAACTCTATACCTCTTGGATGGGTTTTGGTTGGAACTGGGCATGTTTCCCGGTGCCAGTGTTATGAGGTTTCTTGGCATCCCCGCTCTCCAGCACACCAATATGTTCCCCAGGACACTTGACAGACTCAAATACCACTCGCTTATCTGCCAGGGATGCAGACAAATGCAGGTCACCTTTTCATTGGAAGTTGTGTGACACTACAACATACTGTGTTCTTCCAGTTTAAACTCTGTAAAAGATCCACCCTCTTGCCCCTATACAATAAATAATGAAAGGGGCTAGCACAATACGATACAATAAGCCCACGCATTCACTCTGAAGTAGACTAATACAACACACAATGTCTTCTATTGTGGCTATGCATGCAAGACAAACATACAACTCATAGAGACATAGTACCTTTCCATTCAGGTCATTGTCTTTGATTCTCAACCAATGGCGTGGATTGTGGACGTTCTGAAGAGCAACTCTCTGCGGCCCACGAACATGCACCTTAAACTGAGCTGTGTATAATTATACAGAAGTTCAAAATGTAAGGGCTGCAAGCAAGTCACCCATACTGAGAATAAGAATTCTTTTCATGGAAATTTCTTCATTGCAAGTGGCAGTTCGTTTGTGCAGTTATCTTTCTACCTTCCTTCTTTATTGATTGCGTGATGCTCTGTATATGTGATTCTTCAATGATTGTGGCCTACCCATTGCTCCCTCTCCGCCTTTGCCCTCCGCATCCCCATTATCTTTGACTCTCAGAGTCTTTCCACTGGCCTCAGAGATAAACACAAGAACTGCTCCAGACTGGAACACATTCTGCAAGTTTTACACAGCAGTACTATCTATTTACAACATATCATAAAGTGCTATATAGGGTAAGCATTAGATAGACAGGAAAGAAATCTACTATTTAATAATATTGTTAGTGCAAAAAGAAGTAAGCTCTCACAAAAAGTGGAGTTTCTCCTGCAGACACCTGCAGGTAAAAAGAAACGAGCGTTTTCAAAGTCCGTGCTGGTAAGCGGTCGAACTTACACTCATCCTCGGACGGGTGTTCTATTCCTTTTGCTGGAAACTGAGGCAACAGTCAGAGGGAACTGAGGAGCAGCAACAAGCATGTATATGCCCGTTGTTGCGCGATATTTATACGAGCGCGGCAGTGCATAACTTGCGCGCATGCGCACGCTCATACGGGGCGGCCTTAGCTAGCTAGCCGGCCAAGCCGCAAGCCGGCCGGCGGCCGCCTCTGTCCTATCGAGTGGGTGTGGTGCCTAGCAGTATTCCTTCTCTCTCTAGCTCTCCCGATCCATACGCTCTTATGGAGGTGTGCGTGGACTCTGTGGAGTCTGCAGTGAACGCAGTCAACGGAGGAGCGTCTCGACTGGAGCTGTGCTGCGCTCTCAGCGAAGGAGGCCTGACTCCCAGCGTCGGTCTCCTCCGCGTGGTCAAGCAAGAAGTAAACGTACCGGTCTTCGTCATGATCCGGCCGCGCGGTGGCGACTTCGCCTACAGCGAGCAGGAGTTTGAAGTCATGAAAGAAGACCTGATAGCCCTCAAGGATATCGGGGACGCGGACGGGTTCGTGCTCGGGATCCTAACTCGAGACGGGGAGGTAGACACGAGGAGGTGCTCGCAGCTGATCGAGCTTGCGCGACCACAGCCCGTAACTTTCCACCGAGCTTTTGACATGACCAGAGACCCGTTCAGAGCCCTGGAGGCTATCGTGGGTTTGCGTGTGGAGCGGGTGCTGACGAGCGGGCAAGAGACCACGGCGCTGGAGGGCCTTCCGTTGCTTCAGGAGCTCGTGGGGAGGGCATGCGGTCGCACGACGGTTATTGCCGGCGGCGGCATCACGGAGCGAAACCTGGAGCGGATACTGCGTGGGTCCGGGTGCAGGGAGTTTCACTGCTCGGCAAGGACGAACGTGGATTCCGTCATGCAGTACCGCAACCCCCGCGTGCGGATGGGAGCGCAGTGCGGGGTCCCCGAGTATTCCCTGAGAGTGGCAGACACCGACAGAATACAGACCATGATTTCCATCGCGCAGTCCATTCCCCAGGACACCACTCATATCAACTGAGACATTCACACAAACACGCACATAATATTGTACACAATACTAGAAATTCTACGACTGACTGTGATTTTCAAAATCACGTCTAAAACTAAAAGGCAGTCCTTTTGAGACAAGTGAAATTGCAACACAAAACAGCTCTAGTTTTAAAAGTACAATCAACTGCACATCTTAGTCTGCTTCATCTTCACCTGTGCAATCAAATTAAAAACATTGTGCAGGTGATATAGAAATCTCTGCAACCTTTATACGTATGTACCTATGACAATGGGGGTGAACTGGGCATGTTTTCCTTTGCCGGTGTGGCTGGGTTTCTTGACCTCTCCACTCTCCCTCACTCCCACGTGCTGGCCTGGGAAACGAACCGACTCCAGAACAACGTGGTCCTCTACAGAACACACACACCACACACATGCTATAAACTGTCTTGAGCAACAGTTTATCTATCTCAGAAATGCTTTACTGTTTTGATAGCAGCTTACCGACTTCTTGTACGCTCCAGTGGCACAGTGTTCCACCTTTTCCCTGAAGAGAGAAATTTCAACCATTCAACCACAACAAAAGACACCTATAACTAAATACTCCAACGAAATTTGCTGCATATACAGTACCTTAGAGTTCAGCTCTCCGTTAATGATTCTCAGCCACTGCTTGGGTTCCTTCTTGTTCTGCAGGGCCACAATTCCAGGCTTCTTCACATGGACTATGAACTGAGCTGTCAAAAAGAAATGAATTTAGATAACTGGGCACAAAATACTTTATCAAATTTCCAATTCAGTAGTTGTTTAACTTATTGCACAATACAGGCAGAATTGCCCGGGAAATATCGTTTTTTGGTAAGTTTTGTATATATGAAAGTCTGCTATTGGGCAGGAATATAAAAAAAAAGGTTGTTGAAGGCTCTGAACATCATGTAACTCCAAAACACATAGATGATGAGCGACTAACCGAGAGCTCCGTGACCTCCGACCCCCTCCACAGCTCCCTCTCTGAACCTCAGAGTATTCCCGCTGGCTCGTGACTCCAGAACCACCACATTCTCATCGGTGAATCTGCTCAGGAGCTCCCCACCTCCCGCCTTCTGGAGCTGTGTGTAACATGATTATAGCAACACAACACTGTCTTCTGCAAGTGCACAGGGAGCAACCAAAACACATGAAAACCAACAAATAGAGTTCTATGTCACTTTCTGCTAGTGTCCACCTTTGGAATAGTATAGCTACCACGAAAGTTAGAAATTCTCCCATAATTACACACCCCTTTTGGCTAAAGCCCATTAAGTTTGTTCTATTCTTGCACATATTATAATTACACTGTATCTGCCAAATGCATCAAACCAGAGTTTCACCTACAGGAACACTGTTTTCTGAACAGTACATTAGTAAACTGTCAGAGTATATTGGACCACAAAACTTATAGGTCGAGCCCCTACACCGGGGGGGGTCTCAATGGTAGGTGTGGTACTGAGGTCCTCCTGTACGTGTATAACACTATACCTTGATATTGGGAGTGAAGTGAGCAGCCTGGCTGGACGGGTCTGTCTCTGGAGGGACAGTGACACTGCCTTCCGAGTCAATACCCACATAATGACCAGGGGCTGCCACTGATTCCAGGGTCACGTGGCCATCTTTAGGAGACAACGCATGAGAGGGTAACAGGTTACTACTACCCTACAGTCAGCCTCCACACCCTTACCACTTTCCTCCACTCTGAACTCACAGAAACGACCACCTTTCCCCTATCATAGCATTATATGACATAGAGATCTAGGTAAGCGGTAGTAATGAGCTCACATTCCCCTCTAGTCTGGAGTCTCTGATTCTCAACCAGGCCTGAGGGTCCTTCACATTCTGCAGAGCTATCACGTCGCTTCTCCTCACGTGGACAAAGAATGAAGCTGGAAGGAGAAACAGGAGAATAAGGGGCTGTGAGTAAGGAACTCTGTAATGGTAAAACTCACCTTTCTCCCCCCTGCCTCCAAGTCCATTGACCAGTTTCTCAACTATTCTGAGAGACTTTCCACTGGCACGAGATGTTAGGCAGACTTTTCTCCCGTTTGTGAAGGGAGCCTACAATCAGTTGAATCAGTTAGCTTTAGTTGGTTAAGGGAAGTCGTTTTAAGTAACGCAAACTTACCAGAAGTTGACTATCTCCAGTCAAACCTTTAATCTGCAAAAGTGGGAATACATTAACCCTCAACTATTACAGCTAAACTGAGTCGGTTATTCAAGCTCTCCATGCAGACCTTCATGATAGGTGTGAAGCGAGCGTGTTTCCTAGTGCCTGTGTGACTGGGTTTCTTGACGTCTCCTTTCTCGCGGACTCCCACGTGCGTCCCTTGAGCCAGCACCGGTTCAAACACCACGTAACCGCCTGTGCAGTGACAAAGAGCAGCCCACGATACACGTGTACACAAATCATACTATACTTCCCAAGTACTTCCTTCATAGTTGGAAGGGTCACAATGCTCTGTGGTTTTCCTTATATAGCTGGTGCACCATAGCTTACAGATGTAGTTTATTGCTACAGGCAATCAATCACTAACTGGTGGGTCCTACAATTCAGTAATAACTGGTCCAGATACACGATGTGGTGCAGGGTGGTGGGCATTAGTAGCTCGACAACGATGGAAATATCAGAACTCACAGTGTTCACTGAGGTTAAAGTGACAGTGCTCATCGCCAGTACCCTGCAGGTGTGACCAATGATATATCATCGACTTTGTATCACTATGCTTTCATGGGATTTATATATTTGTGACTTTCACAATTATGCAAAAACCATTTTTTTCACTTACATTTCCAGAGAGCTCGTCATCCTTGACCTGTAGCCACTTCTCTGGATCTTTCACATTCTGCAGTGCTACTTTCCTCACTCCTTTCACATGGACGGTGAACGTAGCTGCAGAGAAGAGTAAGTCCCTGCCGATAGTCCACTAATTAGTTCGCCTAATACTGCACCTTTCTTCCCAAATCCTCCCTTGGCATTGACGCTCCCGTCATCGATAATCCTGAGTGATTGAGAGCTGGAGAGTGAGGTGAGATTGATCTGACATCCGTCCACAAACGCTCTCTGGAAGTGCAGGCAGCAGTGTGAACGCGGAAAACGTAAACATTTTGTGTCTTTGAGCTAACCATGAGTCTGGAGCCACCTGCTACCAGGACCTGCATGGAATTCAATTGAACAGAGTTTATATAGGAAACCAACATCTTACAGTTGTAGATACAAAACAGAATACTAGAGCTCCTAATTTGTGTCATCATTGTAATTATGACGTGTGGTTTTTTGGTACCCTACTAATGGTATATGAAGTATTGAAGGTATAGTAACATGTCAAATGTAATGTTGCTGCCAGCTCTTGTCTTCTGCTAGAATCCTGAGGACTTTTCAACACGCCAGAGACATGCTCTACTGCACTAAACACGATGTTTACTTTCCCCAAAAAGCAGAGTAGCCAAAGACACAACCTTTGCATACAAGAATAATATAATAGAGAAAAGCACAACATTCAAGTCAGCATTGAAACCTCCGCCACATTCCAGTGTAATATGCTTCAATGAGGAGATATAAAATAATAATACGTGCGCTAATGCAGGTGCATTGCTCACCTGTATAAAATGGACATGTATATCACTTTTATCAAGATGTATCGTAATTATACTTGTGTGGAGCTAGTGTGAGCTCTAATAGCGACGGACATGATTGGATTGGCAGAGACCCATGATGCTCAGCCAACTCAATCACAGTCTGACTCAGAGCGATCAAACCTATACTGGGTACTCGGCCTATTATAGTGAACAGGTAAGTTTTAGAACCCACAGGGAGTGAGCAGTTTGGGAAGGACAAGTAAGAACAGGCAAGGGACATTGTCTATCTGTGGGATGGACGGTTCCAACATCATTCACTCCCTCAATGGAAGCAAGACAGGTATAGCCTGTGCATATTGTGAGCACCGGGTCTCCCATATTCAGCGACTGTATAGGTGCCAACTACGCACGTACAGAAGTGCGACTGTTGCACGGCGGTGCCAACTACAGTGGAGACACACAGGAGGTCAGGTGAGTTGCTGGCAAACTGTGGAAGGGTCGTGGTGGTGTGGGAACTACAGAGGCACAGGTGTTGCCATAGAACAGGGCATGTGATCGTGCACCATCACAATGCATTGTATATACTACAACCAGGACCCCGAGTACATCGGAGTACATCACACTACAACACACGTCAGACTGACCATCTTGTTCTGCCCATCCAATTTCCACCCTCCCTCTCCAACCAAACTCACAGTATCTTCTTCCTCATCACCACTGGAATCTACTTCTCCTCCTTCCTCCTCCTCTTCATCTTCATCTCCATCCACTTCCTCCTCTTGTTGCACAGCAGCCTCCCCAGACTCTTTCTCAGTCACTGCATCTGGTTGTTGTGATGGCTCAGGTTGAGGGTCCACCGGTGGGTCAGGCTCAGTCTGTTGAACCACGATTACCACCTCGGGCTGCGCTGGTGGTGGTGGTGATGGTTCAGGCTCAGTCTGTTGAACCACGATTACCACCTCGGGCTGCGCTGGTGGTGGCGATGGTTCCGTTGGCTGCGGGGGCTGCGGCTCCGCTTCGAGACCACTCTGGTCTGCCTCGCCGGCGAGACTGGTCGGCAGTGTTGGAACCTCTTCTACTCCGTCAGTGTTGTCCTTCTCTTCTTTGTCAGAGCTGGAGCTACTCGAGGAAGAGGATGAAGACTGTCGACGCTCTGGTGGTTCTGCGGTCTCCTCCGCCGCTAGCAACGGCTGCTGGTCATCGTTCCCAGTCCCTGCGGGTGCCGGCGTCTCTTTCTCTTCTCCGTCATCTCCGTCCGGCTTCGTCTCTGCAGCTGCGGGGTCTCCGTGCGTCTCGACCTGAGCCTCTTCCACCTTCGCGGGCTCCTCTTCCTGCGTTCCAGCTTCAGTTTTCGCTGTTTCTCCGTCTCCTCCGGTTCTCTCTCCCTGCACGGCCTCCGCGGCGGGCTCTTCCTTCTCTCCGCCGTCTTCTGTTTTGGAGCTCTTTTTCTTGGTTCCTCCCTCGGTTCCTCCTGCAGCACCGGCGGGGTTCTCGGTGGACTCCAGGAGCTGCTGTGCCGAGAGACGCGTCTTATGGTCCTTCTTCTTCCTCTCCTCGGGCGGAGGCTGCTGCTCCAGGCACTCACACAAATTCCCCATCCCTAGGCCCTTCGACTACTAGAGAGAGCTAGCTAGCTAGAGAGCGCTCTTCTTCCCCTCATGTGCGCATGCGCAGTACCCGGCGCGTGTCCAGAAAAGGAGGCGTGGCTGATGATGAACCCTCGGGTCTACCGCCGTCCTATCTACCGTCCATGGCTCACTACTACCAGACTGTCCCAGCGAAGGCTGGATCTTCGTCCTTGCTGGTTAGTGTATTACTCTGTCCTTTTTCCGTTGGTGTAAGTAATGTTCTTATGTTTCTTGTATAGAGTAAACTGAGGGACGGAAATGTGGTGATCCTACAGTCCCGGGCCGGTGGGAAGACACTCCGTAGCCACCACGGCACGGCGCAGGGAGTTGGCGGCTTTGGCGCCCACGGTTAGAAGGCAGATAGTACAGCCTCTCTCCCTCCAATGCGCTCTGTATATAAATGAATGCAGCTCAGTGGACCGTCCACGTGCGCAGACAAGGGGTCATTGCTCTGCAGAACCAACACACGTCCACAGACTGGCTGGCCATACACAATGGCCAAACCATTGGAAACGTATGTCTGCTCTAGATTCCACCACCTGTTTACCTGTTAATTTTCTACTTAGGGAAGAGGTGGTCCATATTGCGACTTTATCGTCCTCGAAGGTAATGTGATGCTACTGCTGGGACTAAGCCATCGATGGAAGGGCGATGTTATTTGTCTCAATTTGTCCCTGCAGTTGATGGTCATGTGGTGTTGGAGTCGGTCCAATATCGAGGCCAGCATGTCGGTGTTCTGCCAAGTGGAGAGATAAAGGACCCTGGAAGGACTGGGACTGGACAACATGCCCAGTTTATTCTCAATGTTCATCAGGGCATTAAAGTTAGCCTTACACTAGTAAAGCTACACAAGGTTTTTTCTAGATACCATAACTTATCAACTGTGTTTGTGAAAATGTTCTTCTACCAGGATTTGTAAGGAACAACTTAGCACACAGTGGCCCTTTTGGGAATAAACAGAGCACTGTTCTTCAATTTCAGTTTGAGTTTGTGGGGGGAAGTGTGGTGATTCTGGAGTCATGTGCCAGTGGTAAGACTCTTCGCAGTCTCCATGGGAAAGCTGAGGGAATAGGAGGGCGAGGAGCACATGGTATGTGTAAATACACCCTTCTATAGAATCTAGTTGTAAGATATCGTGATCTTATTCAACACTGACAATTCAACACTGACCTTTCAACCTCTCTATCACTCTTTCTGTCTGTGTGTGTCCAGCTCAGTGGAAGGTCCACGTTCGCAGACCTGGAGTCATTGCCCTGCAGAACCAACACACTCCATCTCACTGGCTGGCTATTCGTGACGGAGCTACCATTGGAAATGTACTTATGTCTCACATAATTATATAGTCCTACAACTAACAGTACATTACCTTATTTTCTACAGGCTCAAGGTGGTCCTTACTGCGAATTCACAGTGAAGGAGTGTAAGTATAATATTATCTCTACCTCCTGAGCTGTGTGTTTACTAGTGTCTCTCCTTGCGTCTCAGCCGATGAGAACGTGGTGTTGGAGTCGGTGCAGTACCGAGGCCAGCATGTCGGTGTTCTCCCAAGTGGAGAGATAAAGGAGCCGGGAAGGACTGGTACCGGGCTACATGCCCAGTTCAGGCTCACCCAACACAAGACACCTGAAGTGAGCACCAACAGTGTGTGTGTTTGCGAATCAATGGAGCGTATACAGTGGAACCCTTCTAATCCAGACACTAATGACACCAAAAAAGTGTCGGTGCCCTTATGGAACTGTTCTTGGGGAACCTTATTAGAGAGAAGTGTCCTCATTTCAGGGGTGTCCTTAGAAGGGGGGTTCCACTGTAGTTATGTTTGCATACGATTATTATGCAGGAGGTAGGGTATGATGTGTCCAGGCACATGGCTGGACTGAACCTATCATCTTCCATACTGGTTAGTCACTCTATCAATAGTGTGGGGTTTGAAGGCTACACTCTCACTGTCTGTGTGCTGTCTGTCTACAGAGTATGTTTGCCCATGGAAACGTGGTGATACTGGAATCTCATGCCAGTGGAAAGACTCTCCGTAGCTATCATGGGACTGCTGAAGGGATCGGTGGACGTGGAATTCATGGTACGCGGCGTGTATTAGGGGTTTGCCTCGTCGTAATTTTCATTTCTCTTTTCCGGAATGTGGCTAGAACTAAACGATAGGACCCAGCATATTAATGCTTGATTTTATACTGCCACCCATTCCCTTTAACCTTTTCTACAGCTCAGTGGAAGGTCAATGTACGTGGTTTTGGAGTCATTGCCCTGCAGAACCAACACACTCCATCTCACTGGCTGGCTATTCGTGACGGAGCTACCATTGCAAATGTATGACGACTATCAGTAGCTATACAGTTGAACCTTATCTCAGTATATACACCCCAGAAAAAACACCTATCCAATAAGGTCAACTTCTCTTTATGCAATTTAACCCAGGGACACCTCACTAATATATATGGACATCTTTCTTGGTGTCTGGATGAGGAATTACACACTAACTTATTGGACTCTGCTGCCTTCTTTATTACTCTCTTTGTCACTTTAGGCAGGTGGAGGGCCTTACTGTGAATTCAGGCTACTGACAGGTGTGAACTATACTTCACTGCAGCAACTATACTTCGACTAATATCTCTGCAGTGAACGACAACGTGGTGCTGGAATCTACCCAATATCCTGGCCAGCATGTGGGGGTTCGTCCAGATGGAAGTATAAAGCCGCCAGGGCAGACCGGCACAGGGAAACACGCCCAGTTCAAACCCATCTTACACCAGCAGGTATATCTGCAACGAGACGCCCAGCCACTGTCAGTCACCGCTGTATGGTAGAACATTTTTAAGGGGTACATCATTGGGGAGGGTACCATTTTTACTGTCTCTTGTGGGACGGTTTATTCGTTTCTATCACCGTGTGTTCATCACCAATCAGGATGCGACGACTGTTGTGTGGTCAATTTAGCGCGTCTTGTGACTGAGAACGATTAACGATGCACATGCACCTTGATAACATTTGGGTGGGCCTACCAGGAGATTGCACTGAAAAATGTGACACTACGGATGAAGTGACTGATTCCCTCTCTCTCTCCAGGCAACATCAGACCGTGATCACCATCGCTCCACACACCATGACATATCAAGCTAAGACCGAAGGGTAACACACCGACCCCCACCTTAAACAAAAACTGGGACCACCCAAGCACGAACCACCGGTACCGGGCACATAAGCACCATGCGCCACCACCGGGCGAGGAAAAGGTACCCCTACCCCCCCACAGCTGAGAGTACCCAGGTAGCGAGTAAAGGTACCACTAACATGCTGGTGGGATTACCCCGCCACACCGTGAGACTGGGACTGTATAAACATAATAGATGCCCAATATTTTATAGTTTCTAGATTACGAATGCTCCGGAAGACGGGACAGGAAAAACGATATTTGTTAGTATAACGGGAAACTGTTAGTTCCGGAGTGCGAGCTGCGAAGACATAGCGCCACTCAGACAGGTGTGTGTCTTCCGCAAGTCCGAGCTGCAGAAAGACAAAATCCATACGCCATCGACCTACCAAGCAGCCAACACGTAACAGGTCCGC